AATAAGCTTATACGGATGAGAAAGAGCTAAGCTTCCTCCCCTACTGTGAGGCAGGGCGAGTGATACCATCCCAGCGCTGCAGTCGTTTCAAATTGCTGCAGCATTCACACGCCCTTTAGCCATTCTGATCCGGTGGTGGGGGCTGGGGAGAGCCATCAATAGGGATTTCCCAGCCGGGCTGGCGGGATTGGAGGGTGACGGCAGGACAGGGGAACATTGCCCCGTTGCTACGAGGTGCTCCTGGGGAATGCCAGTGCTCTGTGCCGTGGGTACGCTGGCTGGCGGAAACATTCTGCATTATGCTGGTAATACAGTGTGACACTGCGGGAACAATGGCAAATTGAGTGTCCCAGCAGGTAACGGGCCTGGCTGGGAGACAGTCGCAGTGGTGCACTGTCAAGACGGCTCTAATCCTCCCTCACCAGCCCCTCCCCTGGTTCTGGGAACGCTGCTACCACATTTCATCTCTGGGAAATTCTCCCGGCTCCTCGCCCAGATCCAGGGGAGAATTTCAAGGAGAAGCATTTGTTTGCAGCTCGCTCCCCCCGCTCCCAGCATCGTGTGGAGAGCCTGCCGGGCAGGCGCAGGGGGTGTTGGGGGGGCAGCTGCAAGAGGGGTGCAGCCCCCGGGCAGCCTGCATCGCGTCTCCACCAGCCTTGGCTTGGCTCCCTTCCCAGCATCTGCACAAGGAGACTCACAAAACGTGCAGCAACTCTTCATCCTGTGCCCGTCACTTTTCCACACCCCCGGGATGGAAAGCGAAGGCACGTCAGCAAGAGGAGCGGCCCTCTGCCCCTGAGCTGTCCTGGTCTGAGGCCAAAAGGGCTCGCTAGCTCCTCTAATCTGATCTGCTTTAGATCACAGGCCACCCAAATAGCCTTTGTCAGGCTGAAACACTCCAGTTGGAGCAGTGATCTTCAACCGGTGCCTCCAGTGGTCCCAGTGTAAGCACTTGGTGAAAGATATCTAAGGAAAATCTGGGTAGGTGGAGGCTAGGTCTCTGCTGGTGTATCAGGTGGGAGGGCAAAGAGGGAAGAGTTTGAATTTAAAGAAAGTGAAAACCACAGTGGAAGAGCCATGAGTCAGAACACCAGCGAAAAGACCAGCTCAGTTCAGAGCATGTCACAACTTCTTCAACAGCCTCCCGAAGAGTTAACATACCAAGATACGTAATGCAGGAAATACCCTTCAATCTGACAGTGTATTGTCCACTTACAGAAGAGACTCCCAAAACCCTGACGTCAAACACATGGACCTCATGGTAGGAAAATGCCACCATATTAAGTGGACACAGTCATCTTATTTCTTCCCAGAGAGGGAACAGGTTGCCCAGAGAAGCTGTGGATGCTCCATCCCTGGGAGTGTCCAAGGCCAGGCTGGATGAGGCTTGGAGCAACCTGGGCTATGGAAGGTGCAACCCCCCATGGCAGGGGGTTGGAACTGGATGATCTTTAAGGTCCCTTCCAACCCTAACCATTCTGTGATTCTATCTATGATCTCTTCCTACATCCTCTAAAGCTACGTCTAGGTCTTCTCACAATATTATTTGATGCTTCTAGTACCTCAGAAGTTTCCTCTGGTAATAGCTGGCCAAGAAAATCTGTCTTGATGGCTCCACCCCAGCTGCTGCTTTGGGTGAGCTATTCAGAACAGCTACCAATGCTGCCATTTCAGGGCTGTGCTTCAACACTGGGCTGGGCTTTGGTAATTTCTGGGTAATTAATGGGTCCAGAATAACCCATCCTGAATAAGATGTTCCTGGTGTTTACAGCAACTGCCACTGAGCGAGGAAGGGCCGCAATGCTCAGGCAGCGGGTACTGCAGCAGGCAGGGCTGCTGGAGGGGTTTTGGTTCATGATGAAGAACAGCAGCTCCCTGGCCTCAGGCACTTGTGGTGGCTTTGGAGGCTCCAGGCACAGAGCAGGTAGTTCTGGTCTGGTTTCCCACCCATCCTGCCTGGCCTTGTTCTCCTCCTCAGAGCCAGCTGGCTATAACATCCAGCCAATGCACACACCTTTATGTCACCTGGTGGCTTCACCATACCCATGTGCATTTTGGCTACTGCTGTCCAAAGTCCAGGTCAGGGCCCCACTGAATGACCAGGGAAAGGCGGGGCTCAAAAGTCGCCCTGCCACAGTCACAGGTGAAAGAAGTGATGGACAGAGATGCTCCGGTT